CAGCCTGAGGCTGGACCTATTTTGAGTTATTTAGAGACTCTGTTTAAAAAGCACTGCCGGGGCTGACGTCCGTGAAAGTCGAAGCTGCTTAGGCCTTACAGTAGGCCTCCTCGATAATCCAGTAGCGTAAGATTGTACTCCCCTTGCTTTAAAGGGTCGATAGTGCTTTTGCTGAGTACACTGCCTGTTGGCAATGTGAAATAAGTATAACCAGGCCCACAGAGATGTCTGTGAGAGCACATGACTTCTGTGACTAGCTCTGCTAACAGTTCCGCTATCAAGTAGTTAGGCCTAGACAGGCCCCCTTGAAGGCGGATCCCCAACGAGTTGGATGCTTAGCATTGCAAAGGCAAAATCTAGCCCAGAGCCTGGTCAATACTTATCAGGTTTTGAGTATAGTGTTTCAGAATCTATCTGAGGATCGTTCTGTATGAATACTTAGCTCCCTAAGTCTGGTTGGAAGGTCGAAGGACTCTCACGAGGCCTCCCTGTTAGATCAGCCCTAGAGCTGGAAGCGCTCCCCTATTAGGGTCCCTTTCAGAGTGCCCAGCCTCCCAACGCATTCTCATCCCAAAGCGTAATATATTGACTCTTTTGCCAAAGCGTCTATATCCAACGCATATGGCACCCTTTAGCGTCAATATAACACGCTTCGGTTTTGGGTAGGTTTAGGTCTGGGGTAGTGTTAGGGTTAGACCACTAGGAGGCGCCATATATCTGCGTCTCATATGACGCTAAAGGGTGCCATGTGCGTGGGATGTAGACGCTTTGGCAAAAGAGTCAGTATATTACGCCTTGGGATGAGAACGGGCTCAGCCTCCACATGGCTTTAAAGCACTGTGTAGATCCAGGATTGGGTAGAGTTACTCCCCTCGTTCGCAAGGGTTAGAAAGCGCTATGCTGAGTTCTACTCTCCAGGATGCCCGTCTATGATCCGGTCTGTGAGCGATCACTGCCACTATCTGCAGTCCTCCCTATCGGATGCCTCCAAGTGAGGCAAAATATGTTAGAGACTCTGTTTTAGGAAACAGACAGGTTGTTGGCAAGACTAGGTCATTAAATTAGACTAGGTCAGCCTCCCTGGTGGTATGTGGGGTTGACTTCATGTCCCCCTCAGAAAGTGACTGGACGGGACTCCTTTGGACCCCCTGGCCATATTCCCTTAAAGGAACCCCTTCCACGGATGTTGTTGGTTCCAAAGCCTTGAGCAGCCGTGGTTGGCCTTCATTGTATCGGAGGCCTCTTTGAGACTTATAGCTTGGGCAGTGGCCGTAGGGAATACTGTCACTGACAGCCTGTATGTGACCCGAAGGGGGAGTTTTTTGACGTTTTTCGTCACAGCCATAATTTGGCATGCACTCCCCTCAGCATGGCAGCGTGGGTAGATCGTTCCCCATAGCGTTCTGACACAGTGCGAGTTCCCTTTCGAAAGGGAACGTCTCAGGTTACGACTGTAAGCTATGTTCCCTGAGAACAGGGAACGAGACACTGCGTCTTTTTGGCATGCCTCGTGGATGCCTGCTGAACAGTCCCTTTCAGATGATAAGTTGTTGACATGTTCTCCAGGCTCCCCTTATATACTTCCGGGTCACACTAGAGATGATGTCATAGGCTGTCGCCGGCCAATAGGATTGCCGTAATTAGATAAGCGTTTCAGACACCGGTTCACGTGGAAGCATTCCCCATAGCGTTCTGTCACAGTGTCTCGTTCCCTGTTCTCAGAGTCAGGGAACATAGGTTACAGTCGTAACCTGAGACGTTTGTTTGCTGTAAACTTTGTTCTAATCACATCTACAAGATCTGAACATCTGCTGTCCAAGAAGAGAAGTATGTGGGATTGGATTAAAGATGAGATATGAAATAAGCAAAAAAGCTAAATGCTGAGGCAAAGTTGGTATACATTAGCCGCTTTTCCAATGTTCTCTTTGTTTAACTGTTCCATTCCGTGCCTATTTGGGCCAGCCGGTACAGATGTGGTTTCATTTTCCACTCTGGGGCTGATAACGGCCACTCTTCAGAATGTAATACAAATGCATCAATCATTGCCTTGTTAACGCAATAATATACAGATGATATGAGATGTACTGTAAATGGTGTCTGCGTTAAGGAGGTTGATCAGATATTTACGGTCAGACAACCGTGCAGAGAATTCAAAAATACAACTGGAACCATTCCTAACCATTCTTTGAACCGTTCGGCCCGACGGTGTAAGTGATATTGTTTACAAGCTGTTTTATTGACGTCTTTCCGCGGTTGAAACACAGATTGAGTGAGATACACGAGTCATGATACAGATTTCGGTAAGTTGTACTGTATCTTTCAACATACCTTCTGATATTCATGCATGTTTTTCTAGATGTAATTTGTATTGAAGTGGAAGAAAACAGCTGCTTGAACTGAGGCACTACAGCGATCTGTCACATTTAAGAGCGTCAAAACGCCATTTTTTGTTGGTATTTCGTAAAAAAAAAGTATATAATTTGAAAGTTGCGACTTTGTTTCTTATCAGAAGTAACAAAGCTCTTTGTGATTATTGGATGGGAGGCTCTACAAATAATGTTTAATATAGGGAAAAAAACGTAGATCAGACAACCTTGGCTTGAACTACGGGTGATTCAAAGGGTCAAATAAAGCCTCCATTAACGTCGTTATTTTATAACTGTTATAGCGGTCGCGTTAACTTGCCCTAAATTCAACACAAGAGAGATTTTCTTCACACACAGTATGAGTTGCAATCTGACATGTTTTTCCGCACCCTTTTGATTGACAGGATATAATCGGCACTGATCATTGGCTGTTTTTAAAGCGAAAATAATAGCTTTAACCGGCCGATACCGATTAGTGGCCGATACATCGGTGCATATCTAATATATACACTCACCTAAAGGATTATAAGGAACACCATACTAATACTGTATTTGATCCCCTTTCGCCTTCAGAACTGCCTTAATTCTACGTGGTATTGATTCAACAAGGTGCTGAAAGCATTCTTTAGAAATGTTGGCCCATATTGATCGGATAGCATCTTGCAGTTGATGGAGATTTGTGGGATGCACATCCAGGGCACGAAGCTCCCGTTCCACCACATCCCAAAGATGCTCTATTGGGTTTAGATCTGGTGACTGTGGGGGCCATTTTAGTACAGTGAACTCATTGTCATGTTCAAGAAACCAATTTGAAATGATTCGAGCTTTGTGACATGGAGCATTTTCCTGCTGGAAGTAGCCATCAGAGGATGGGTACATGGTGGCCATAAAGGGATGGACATGGTCAGAGACAATGCTCAGGTAGGCCGTGGCATTTAAACGATGCCCAATTGGCACTAAGGGGCCTAAAGTGTGCCAAGAAAACATCCCCCACACCATTACACCACCACCACCAGCCTGCACAGTGGTAACAAGACATGATGGATCCATGTTCTCATTCTGTTTACGCCAAATTCTGACTCTACCATCTGAATGTCTCAATAGAAATCGAGACTCATCAGACCAGGCAACATTTTTCCAGTCTTCAACTGTCCAATTTTGGTGAGCTCTTGCAAATTGTAGCCTCTTTTTCCTATTTGTAGTGGAGATGAGTGGTACCCGGTGGGGTCTTCTGCTGTTGTAGCCCATCCGCCTCAAGGTTCTGCGTGTTGTGGCTTCACAAATGCTTTGCTGCATACCTCGGTTGTAACGAGTGGTTATTTCAGTCAAAGTTGCTCTTCTATCAGCTTGAATCAGTCGGCCCATTGTCCTCTGACCTCTAGCATCAACAAGGCATTTTCGCCCACAGGACTGCCGCATACTGGATGTTTTTCCCTTTTCACACCATTCTTTGTAAACCCTAGAAATGGTTGTGCGTGAAAATCCCAGTACTTGAGCAGATTGTGAAATACTCAGACCGGCCCGTCTGGCACCAACAACCATGCCACGCTCAAAATTGCTTAAATCACCTTTCTTTCCCATTCTGACATTCAGTTTGGAGTTCAGGAGATTGTCTTGACCAGGACCACACCCCTAAATGCATTGAAGCAACTGCCATGTGATTGGTTGATTAGATAATTGCATTAATGAGAAATTGAACAGGTGTTCCTAATAATCCTTTAGGTGAGTATATATATATATATATATATATATATATACACATATATACACAGTACCGGTCAAAAGTTTGGAAACATTACTATTTTTAATGTTTTTGAGAGAAGTCTCTTATGCTCATCAAACCTGCATTAATTTGATCAAAAATACAGAAAAAACTGTAATATTGTGAAATATTACAATTTAAAATAATTAATAATTAAATTATTGTTTTAAAATAATGTATTTTAAATATTTAAAGTATTTTAAAATAATTAAATTCATTATTTTAATATTATGATCAAGCCTTTCTCGATGTAAATATTTGAATGGTTCTGCTGTTGTTGGCAGGTGGATTTGTAGTAGCACTTCATCTTTTATAACATGTGATTTTGGCCAAATGAAAAACCTCTGTTTCCTCTAAATTTGTTTTGGCTTTCTCCTGTTGGAGTGAGATCAGAGCTCATGTATTTTTAAATACACTTTCTCTGTCCCCGTCGGCCACAATTCAACAGAGCAGAAGTACAAATTTACTCTTAGTCACTTCATGTGTATTGATTGATAAATGTAATTGTGTTTGCACATTCCATTTACTTATTGCATATGCTTACACCACTATTTTTCAACATTTTTGATCACATACAATATACATGTCATGTACCCATGCTAATGTATGTTTCTTGGCAACCGAAAATAGTTTTCTTCTTGCCTATAAGATTTTATTCTAACCACTTAAGTGATTAGTCTCTATGATCATTTGTATGTTGCTGTTGTCTTATAAAAACACTTTGTGTGTGTAGATTGTAAAATCACTGAACAGCCTCTTGTGGCTTATAACCTTGTTAGGCTAAGGCAGATTATTAAGCATGTTTAAGAAGAAACAGAGTATTTTAGGCTAAAAGAAAACAGAAAAATGTAAATGTGAATGTGTTCCGTTACCTGTTATAGAGCAAAATATCTGGTGTCCAGATCTGATTGGATGGGAAACGCAGGGTCTGAACACCAGGGTAGTTATCAGGGTTCCAGCTCAAATAGACATCCGTCCATCCCTGAACACACAAAACATACATCAGATTCAGCAACATTAAAATGTTTGATTGCTAAAGAGACAAACATATACAAATACACACACACAGCCAGTAAACACAATAACACAATCACACAGCTGGGGTCTGCCAAGGGTACACACATGTACATTTACCACTGGGAAATGAAGAGAGAACATGCAACACAGAGCAAAGGCACATAAATATGCAATACTTTAAGTTGAATATGACAATGTACTTAAGCAGTCTCTAATAGCCACTTAAATGTCAATAATTAAAGTTAAATAAGGTAATTGTGAGTCAACCTATTTAGTATGAATAATGTATGTTGACATCTTCTTGCATAAGCTGTATCTGATTTCTCTTCCGAGGTGTAGATGGTCCTCGGCTATTATTTCTCTAGCCTATGAAGTTGCGTCTCTGCTGTATTATAGGGTAGGTTAATATGTGGTGCCATAGCAGATTTTAGAGTAATATAAGCTTTTTTAAAGCTTTTTTTTTAAGCAGCACACTACCAGTCTTTCTTAAAAGCAACAGGAAGCACACTATGTTATTAAAGTCACCATGAAATCAAATGGAATATTGCAGCGTAATATATATATATATACAGTGTATATATATGAAGAGTTCAGATGCAAAATGACATCTGAATTTTTTTTCTAGAATTATAATTTTTATCAAGCTCGTATATTTAAGGTCAGTAATTTCACTTAAATGGCAATGAAAATTACCTATTAATTGTCATTTAAGTGAAATTACTAATCTTTCAGAAAATTTCAGATGGAACTCTTCATATATATATTTATGGAATATTCCCCTCCCACTTGCAGTGACATCTCTTCTCTAATGCGTTTAGTGGCATGAGGGTGGAACGACCTGTCATTCACATGAAAGCACCACAATGATCCAATCAAAATTAAGTCTCTACCTACATTTTTTTTGTTCAAAAAGCCATTTCACTGGGATATACATTACAATAAGAAAGACTATCGTCAACTGACAAAAGGCAAACAAGACATTGCATCAATAACTAACAGTATAGGCTGAAATCAGACTTGCTGCATTGATAACTAGAACAAATGTTTCCATTGTTTAATGATCCTCAGAGAAAATGTAAAAATAGTTCATTTTTGTTTTGTGTTTTTTGTCATAAGTGTTTTGTGTCGAGTTTAAACTTAGCCACAACTGTTTTACTCATCCACAAAGCTGTGTGGAATTATGAATATTTAATTATACTTAAACACAAACACAGCTTTAAAATCTATAATTAGCTGCGCTTCCACTGTCGAGCGTGCAAGTGCATGCCAGGGCCAGTCGCGCTTCCTCTGTCACTTTCAAGGCTTGCTCTGGCTCGAAAGGTTGGGGTGGGCTGAAAGGTGAAATGCTACAACAGAAACTAACCCTACCCGACACCCTAACAGGCAGCTTTCGCAACCAACTGTAAAGACCTTTCAGCACATCTCTTCCTTTCATCGCGCCCATTCAGCAACCTGCAGATACCCACACTTATCTTGGTCCAAAGTGGGCCAACTGTGGCTTGAGAAGTGGTCATGAACAAAGGTGGAGTTTTTCCTGAGTCAGGACAGGGTCAGGGCTGCTTCTCATTTCCCATGTTATCATATCAGGCTACCAGCAAACATAAACATTTAAAACAATTGTCAGCTCAAAACTCACTTTCAGACACCAGCGAGTGTGTCAATTGAGATCCGATAGGAATTCTGATCGCTGTATGAGGCAGAAATATATTTATATGTGATGCTAAAGGCTACTTGCTAACCATTGCGATAATAAATACACATATGATTATGGAAAACATCAGAGATTGCTTGAAGAACTTAGACAAATCATGTATGATTTATAATTGTGTTTTATTTGGTTTCATGTTTCATCTGTCTTTTCCCTGTGCCTTTGTTGATACCGGACTTATGGATCCCCATATGTCATAATTACATACACTCCGGTTAACTCATTAAACTCTTTCCCCACCACTGACCGTGGGCATGGGAAAATAAGCAATTTCCGTCTTTTCGTGATTTCACTGTTATACGGTAGGGGGCGCTATGACACATCTTCTGAAAGAGTACTGAATCTCCTGATCAAAACACTGACAAAGAAGAAGCAGAAACAATTGATAGCATATATAAGCAGATGCATATGTGATATAACGCGATCCTCAACATTAAACGGCATACAAATCAAAACTGCCTAATTTTACTGAATGAAATGTCGACCCAAGACAAGCTATAAGACTGTGCAAGCATTAGCAGTGTTGATGGACTCGATCTACTTCATCTATGTTTTGATCATTGTTCTGAATACAATCTAGACATAGGGCCCTATCTTGCACCCGGCGCAAATGACTTTGTACACTGACGCATGTATCATTCCTATTTTGCACCCGCGCAAAGCGGGCTTTTCCCTCCACAGATGCACGTCGGTAAACTAGGAAATAAACTAGCGCTCCCTGGGCGGGTCGGCGCAAAAAGGAGGCGTGTTTCGGCGCAAACATTCCCTAGTGCTATTTTGCAGTTCCAGAAAACAATTCCGCCACTGACCAGAAAAAACCTAGTCTAAAGTCAGTGGCGCGTTGTGCGTTGTTCATAATGCTATTTTAAGCGCGTATGCTTGGCCATAATTTAGCGGGTGCACAACGCGCATACACTTTGATTCTCTCATCAACACAGATGCAGCAGTTTTTATTTTTGCAAATCATACATTAGAACAAGGAAAAATATTAACACATGAGGGAAACCATTGTGGTGTCCATGAAGATGTAAAAAAATGTAGGCCTAAATCTTTCAGGCTAATTGTAGTAATGACGGATCAGACCTACTTTGCCCAATAGTGGCAAGACACATATGTATATAAGGACATCTGACAAATTAGTTTGTCCGTCAAGAACCAGAAAAAAAAAAAATCTCTCATCCCCATACAACGTCACTTCTCTGTCTTTCATGGTCCTGACAAGAACGCCGGTCTCCTCGGCTGTGAACCGCTCCTGGCGCGCGCCTGGTAAATCCGCCATAATAATAACAATCCGCCATGCAACATGCGCACCTGCTCTTAAAAGGTATGTTGGATGACGCTCTGATTGGTTTATTTCACGTTACGCCCAAACCACACCTATGAATAATGAAGCTATTTCAGACCAACCCCTTTTAAACTTGCGTCGGGCGCAAGAGTCATTTATCCCGCCGGTAAAATAGCAACAGCGCCCAAGACCCACCCACAAAGATACTTGCGCTTCGCGCTTGATACTCCCGTTTCAGATCGTTAAAATAGGGCCAATAGTCTTTAACAAAAACACGATTTTCTCAGCTTTTTGCTCAAAATGTTGCTTTTTTTATGAAACTTACCCACATTCAAGTGTTAATAAAAAAAGAATGCATGAAGCTAGAATAAAAGTTTTTTTTTTGTTAGTTTGTTTAAAAGCAGAGGGTCTGTTCTTCCTTTTGATATATAGCATGTTCAGATATTCATACAGCAAAATATTCTGGGGGCCATGCAACTTTTGTAAAAATGATCAAAAGTGTTGGCGCTGGCTGGCAACTTCTTTCAAAAATGCTGGTGGGGAAAGAGTTAATCACACAACTCCTGTTTTCTGTCCATGAGCTCCCTCTGTTGCTCTGGCTGAAAGGATAACAGTATAGTGAAATGGGAGAGTTCGCTCAAACATCCAATGCTCATTTTCTTTTTTTTAAAATGTGACGTAAACATGCTGTTATAATCACAGTTTTTCTAAATGTGTAAGCCTTTGGACTTAAAGCCACCGTATTATTTCTGTTATGTTGTACATTTTCTGTTGTGGATTCATTTTGTTGTGTTGTGAACTTATGTTTGCTTTTTAAATTTCGTTGTGTTGTGCACAACTGGGCCACCATATAAAAGCCTTAATGGAGTTGTTTTGTGCATTCCTGTGATCACAAATAAATTGAAGCTGGTGTGACTGAATAAGTATGTGTTCTCTTTTTATGTTCTCTTGTTATACACGGATGCATGTCGTGTCTGTCTGTCAATGGGAGGAAGCCACGACCATTTTGGAGTTTCTGAAGCCATTCCCTCCTCCTTGCGGAGCTTATTGGCCCTGCCCAGCGAGTAGTTAGCTTTTCCACTGTCGGGTCAGTGAAAAAATAATTTAGGCTACTCCCCCTCATGTTGTTCCAAACCCACAAGACTCACTTATGTTCATCTTTGAAACACGAATATTTTATTTGTAAGATATTTTTAATATTCTCTCATCATTTTGTCCATTGAAAGTACATAATCAATGAGGTTTGTTCTGTAGTACAAAGTACATAACAAATGAGGTTTTTTCTGTAGTACAAAGTACATAATCAATGAGGTTTGTTCTGACATGTCAAGCATGCATGTTTGAGACAGAATTTTGAAATAATATATCTTAAATATCCTCATTTGGGTTCTAATGATGAATGAAAGATAAATGGGTATGAAGCAACATGAGGGTTACTCCCTCTCTAAAATATTTTATTTCGGTAGAAGACCCTAAGCACTTTCCAAAAAATTTAAGAAAAAAAAATATACATTTTTTATACATTTAATTTGTCCCTCTTTATATCTTGCATTGCCAGTTTTCAGGTTCACATATTGTCATCATTATAAAGCAACCTTTCAACTATTTCTGATAATTTGTTTGTGTGTTTTCACTGATGCACAATTAATTAAGTTCAAACAACATGGAGAAATGATGTTTGTTTCATCCTCACATATCAGATCAGATCAGATCAGTCAGGAGGAAAGAGGAGTTTCTGTCCCACACATCTCTCTGTGGCTCAGATGTCCCAGTGTGCTTTAGTGAGCGTATTCCCTGGGGCGATGTCTCTCTCTGCGGACACAATGGCTTGCTCGGCACTGACATGATAGGATCAGGGAATGTGCGCTGCACATATTTTATATACTAGAACACATACTTCGAACATACTATTTCTCCATGTCCAAGAAAAGACCAGATCCACTTTGTTCCCAATGTCACGTGCAGTTTCATGTTTTTAAACAACACTAAAAAGTTTTGAACCAAAAAATATGAGGTGAGAGTACATTTAAACCAATTTTATATTATATATTTTTATGACTTGTGCTGATATTTTTATTCTAATCATTTTATTTTAAAATGTTTAAATAACTTACAATATTTGTATAGTTTAATATAATATTATGTGTGTCTATATTGTACATATGCACGGTGAGGAGGAAAGTATGAGTGGCCAAAGACTCTCCAAGGATTACAGATGGAGAACTGCAGAGTTTAGTTGAGTCTTGGGGCCAGAAAGCCTAATAAAATTATAATCCAACATAACCACATGTGGTTTGGGAGGGTTTCAAGAAAAATCCTCCTCGCTCATCCAAAAACAAACTCCAGCATTTTCATTTGTCAGACACGACTGGAACTTCAAAAGAGATCAGATTTTATGGTCATATGAAACTAAAAAAAATCTTGGCAAAAGGAGGTTGCAAAAAGTATTTAATAAAACGGTGCCAATAATTTGGCCATTTCATTTTTTTAATGAAAGATCAAAAGGATAAACAATGCAGATTTATTTTTCCTGGGGGTGCAAATAATTCTGACCACAACTGTATATTAAAGCAACTGAGGTTCGTAAGACATATCTTTATGCTAAAATTTGAGAGATCATAGGGGTACAAAACTCCCTGGAGGACCACAGTCCTGCAGAGTTTAGCTTCAAATCTAATTAAACACACCTGATCAAACTAACCAAGTCCTTTGAAAACTACAGGTATGTGTGTTGGAGCAGGGTTGGAACTAAACTTTTCAAGAATGTGTGCACTCCAGTTGCTGAGTTTGGCACACTTGATCTAGGACCAAAACGCATAATTCTAGTTACAACCGTCCCTGATCTCTCCAATCTCTCTCTCAGCCTTTATCTCAATCATAATCTTATGTGTCTCTAATGCTACATTTAATATGTGGTGTCTATCTGCCATAATCTACAACGTCAAAGAATCTTTTAAAGCTTTAGTTCACCCAATGAAAATTCTGTCATTATTTACTCACCCTCATGTTGCTCCAAACCCATAAGACTTTCGTTCATCTTCGGAACAATTTTTTTTTTAAAGCTGAACGAAGGTCTTACGGGTTTAGAACAACATGAGGGTGAATAATTGATGACAATTTTTTTTTTTTATTTATTTTTTTTTGGGTGAACTAACCCTTCAAGTCAATATATGGGTGATCATCTGTGCAAGGTCTGTCTCTAAATCCATTTAGCACTTTGGAAAGCAACTGGTCTGGATGTTGGGTTCATAATCAGAGCAGCTCCTTAGTGGAAAATTTCTTATCCAGCTTAATTTCATGGTTAAGTGCTCAGTTGGCTAAAATCATGCATTATGGCTGATGAGGTCAATAAAGGTGAATTAGAGCCAAGGAGTGTTTCAGACAGATAGAAACACCTTTCAACAACTAAAACTCACTGTTGGCATCAGCCAATTGGAGTCATTTGTGAGCATATACACATTTATGAACATGTCTTTCATGAAATTTCACACTTGCCTGCTTTTAAGCTGATTATGTGTTTACCAAATATATGCATACGTTTTGCACGTTTAGTGGGCCTGGATATTTTTGCATTTAATTAGGTTTTTAATGTTTCTCATCATGGAAGCTTTCACTCAAGTAAATAATATCCAGATGAGGTTTGCAGAACTCTACTTTATTCAAATTCTGACATCATTGCTCATCTTGAAGCACTCTTGGGTGCTGAAAATAGTTTAACAACCTTATGGCAATGTTCATATGCTCTTTTTATGATGTTCATTTAAATCCTGCAGTGAAATGAATAAACATAAGTGATGTATGCAGATGTCTCTATAATTTAATATAATATAATATATATATATTTTTAATTTCTTTTTAGTTTTACTTAGTAGCAACTGCTTATTATACTGCTTTGCTTATTGTAGAACTGTATTTTAAAGTGAAACAAAATATATGCTACAAAAAAGGGGAAGTCTGAAGGAGTGCACCAGAGGATGGCAGCCTTGAACAGATCGTTCCAAATGCAAACAGCTTGATGTAAGTTATCAAGTCAGAAAGGCCATTATAAGTCAAGCTCCCAGACATAGACCTGCTCCGCTCCAAGCTGTTATTTTAGTTGTAAATCTGCCTGATGTGACCAAGGGATGTGACATTAAACCTAGAAGCCATTGAAATGTCATTATCTTGTTGCTCTGATGTCTGAAACTTTTGTTAGCGTGACCTGCCATGCAACTGGAACAACCTATTTAAATTTCAAATAATTCTGCTGTTGTTTTTGCTTTCCAGGGTGATGTCTGAACAATGAGCACTTGAGGAAGACGTGCCGCTGAGCGGCATAACTGAGCAGGACAGAAAAACATTTGAACTGTGACGAAATTAGCATCACCATTCGAGACGCAAGTCTCACCTAAGCATCATTCTAATCTACATCTCTTTCCCTTGACCCCCCATTCCCCCATTCCTTCTCTCTCTCATGCTGAGATCACCTGAAATTCACCCAAAAATCTATATGGTTTAATGTGAACAATTATAATACAACACTATACATGTTTGGTATCATTTGGAATGTCTCAGTGCGACTGGTACAAAAGACTCATTCTCCACAGAAGTAAACCAAAAGGTAATAAAGTTTTTAAGAGTTTAAAGATAACAGAGGAGGCTGTGTCTTCCAGGCAAATGGCACCCTGCTCTCAAAAGGTGTAAACTCTGAATGCAAATTCCCATTGTTAGCAAATGTTTCCATGTGAAAGAAGTTTCTGTCTCGGTCTGGGTATTTAAAGAAAGAGCACAAGAGGCTCAGGGCGATTTGTAATGAGATCAGCCCATAATGCTGAGTGTCTCTCAGACACTCAGCATCATGTATTTCTTGAGTCAGGTACATCTTTTACTCTTTATCTCTGAGCATTTGATGTTATTGTATTGATTATCTTTGAATTGATTATGAAATTGGCATGATACATTGACCTGACATAATAAATTGTTACATTTGATTTTATTCTGAATTACTCTGAAATAATTTTCTCAAGTAGATTAAGTGAAGTCTTATGTTTCCGCAAATCTGCGTTCAGGGTTAAGTATATATACTAGATTCCATTTTAAATGGAGCGTGAGGCACATCTGGTGGGATTCAAGATTCCTGACTAACTGCTTGACTTTAAGCTGTTATGCAGTCGCAAATAGGGGGCTAGATAAGAATACTATTGGGGTAATAGCAGCGTTTGGAGCAGCATTATCTTAATGTATTAGCCATAACCTCTGGTTATTGTTTGGGCTTTAACTAAGTTGTTATGTGGGTGACTGTAGGGGGCTACATGGGTACTTTTTAACAATAGCAAGCGTGTTGCGGCATTGTTAAACTGCTTAAGCCATAACCTCCGGTTATCGATCAGACTGGCGAGTTTGTGATCGTGAGATCCGCGTAATATTAACGACTGGCGCGGGACTCTCTGAGCGACATAGATTCCTAATGAACAGGTAAAATATAAAGTAAAGAGTTAAATGGAATAATCAAATGTATTGTTAAACTATTATATAAATAACCAAAAACCAATTGGCAATCTAACCTAAATTCAAGGTCCTGATAAAATGGAGTCAGATAACAGATGAATTGGAATTAAATTACTTTGCCACGCGGAAAAGACAGTAACACGCAGTAAACCTTCACCCGCTTATCGGAAACTGTTGTTGGACCGATTGGGCAGGCCTTACAGTATAGTGAACGAGGGAGAGAAATCATATCGTTCATTTACGATGGCTATAGGAATGAGAGGATTGCCTTTCATAGTGTTAATTTACTCTAGAAGGCACAATTGTCCAGAAAAAATACAGTAAAATAAATTTTTGAGATAATGAAGCAATGCTATTTATTATAATGTGATCAGATTTTATCAACCCAGGCTCATTGAAAAAAAATACATGCATGCCTGTGGCAACATTTCTGCATAAATGATATGTTGCTTCTTGCACGTTTCACGGAACAATTTTCTATGAACAGATAAATGTGAATCTGGCAACTTGGACGTTGGCAGTTCGAAAACGTTAAAATCACATTTGTAAATGTTAGATAAAAATGCATTTGCTGTAACAACCATGCCATTTTAGCTTGTTTTTACAAGTTTTTCAGCTCTTTTATTGAGTGTCACGACTTGTGTTTTACAGCAGTGGTTCCCAACTTCCCAACCCTGGTTCTGGAGTACCCCTAACAGTACACATTTTGGATGTCTCTCTAATCTGACACACAACCATTTCAGGTCTTGAAGTCTCTACTAATGAGCTGATGAGTTGAATCAGATGTGTTTGATTAGGGAGATATGCAAAATATGCAAAACTACCGGGCAAGTTTTTGTCAGAAAAGCTGTACATATGGAGCTGATTATGTGATGCAAACGGCAACATGTATGCAATGTATTTAAAATACGTGTAGTCATGCAATTTGGTAAAGTGTATGGTTTTGAAGCCTTATTGTGCAAGGAACTGTGCAAAAAGTCTGCCCATGTCATCCTAATTTTAACAAGGAATAAAAGTTGTTATTGTTTTACTGCCACTATAGTGTTAATTTAAGATGGAAACTGAAGAGAATTGCATTGCATGGTATAAGTACTTTTTTTTGACATTTTGAGTTTTGCAAAAATGTAGACAGAGGGACATTTTTCAATAAGCCTATGTTGGGTTTTATTTCTGATTTAAAATATGTTATTGAAATGTAATCTTGACAAAAAGTCAAAACAAATGTGGTCATCCCCAAAAGTAGCTGTGACACTTGGTAAATAGTAAGGAAATACTGTAGCTGCCTGCATGGGACATTACCAAAATGGCCACCAAGTAGTAGTTTCCTTAAAGGGACTTTTGACCTACACACACTTACACATACATGCACAATGCATGAGTACAAAATGAAAGTAGAAACTCACCAGCTGTAGCCAGGCGTTGGTTATTAATACCTGATTTTTTTCATCCTGGGGCAGAGAAAATGGAGAGAAAAAGAGATTTGGTATCAAATGAGGACATAAATGAAGGATTACTTCAAATTGAACAATTCTCCTTTCTGCTTCTATAATCCCAACCCTTTTTATGAACAAAGACGTTTATTCCTTTTTTGGCCTCTGTGTACCATTCACTCTCTATCTCTCTCTTTCTCACACACACAAATGCAGACTTTGCCTTTTGGAGCATTTGAGATAAGGCCAACAATCCCCAGCTATAACACTCAATGAATAGGAGCAATCAAACCTTAAAGCAGTTTCACAATGTGACAATCACCATTACAATACAGATCTTATAGTAAACGTCTTGGGATTTAAAGCTTCACTTCAACATGCATTGATCGGTGTCAGAATCTTTCTGTGTTTATTTGAGCTCAAGAACATTCAGCTTTGAATGATCAAAGATGTTGGTTTCATTCAGAGAAGTGTCAGCTCTGATTGCCTCACATTACATTCAGTTCGGACCAGGGATGATCTACAGTGTCATCAATTTCTCATGTTTTTACCCTTAGATATTCTTGTTTCTGGCTTCATCTATAGTTCAATAAGTAACTGACCGATAAGAACAGACAGCATAAGCTTCAGACAGGTTCAAGTGTCAGCACAGTTTATACACAATATCAAAGATAATTTCAAATAATAATCAAAGAAAAAAAAAGAAGAGATATCTCATTTAAGTGGGTTTATAGAGTGAGTTTCACTAACAAAAAAGTACTGTGGTATTGCCATGTAGGCCTGTATATTATTAGTAATACCATGGATTTTGTTACAATAGTTGTACTGTCTTGGATTAGGCTACCATGTAAATATTATAGTATATCAATATGTTATTCATGCAGTACCACGGTATATATCAAAGTACCATTGCATTAACGTCTGATATCATCACAAACCATGGTGTGATATTTAGACTATAGGGATCTCAATATGTCTTACATTATACATTACATTTAAAAGTTTGGGGTCAATATGATTTTTTTAAAAGAAATATTTATTTAGCAAGGATACATTAAACTGATCGAAAGTGACAGTACACACTTTACACAAAAAATCCATTTAAAATAAATGCTGTTCTTCTGAACTTTCTATTCAAGAAAGAAACCGGAAGAAAAAAATAATGTTGTTTTCCAGAAAAATAAATTAAGCGGCACAACTATTTTTAACATTGATAAAAAATTTTTTTTAAAATGGGGCAACACTTCACAATAAGGTTTCCTTTGTTAACATTAGCTCTGTCATGTCAACTCTCAGAGATTGGCATGGTAATGGTAATAAATATTGGCAGAGCTGCTGCAAGTACTGAGACTTGCTAATGCCAATAGATTCACAGACATGGTGCTGTGAGCATGTAAGACATGTTGCTGCTACAGTACATTTAACATTCACGAAATATCCCCCGTAGCAGATCTATACAGGTGGAGCTGGGGAAGGTGGAGGGTTTCTGAAAGCGCGCTGCAGACTACTAACAGAAAACGTTACTAACGTAACCTCGGTTTTTTTACAGGATTATTCTTTTGTATTACAGGATTTGGCTTGAATGTTAAATTACATTAAATTCTATGTAAAAAGACAAAAAAAATCGCTTATTTAAAATTAAGACAACTATGTGTTTTTTTACTGTGAAACCTTAAATTTAAGGTAAATACATGTAAAAAAACAATCGTACAAAAACGGTAAAAAGTCTGGCAGCAAAGTTGCCAAACACTTACCGTCAAATTACAGTAAAAAACCTTAAGTTATTCTACGGAATAATTCTGTTTTTTAAAATACAGATATTTACTGTAAACATTTTCTGTATTTTTACAGTTCCACTGCTGTAGAATGAAAAGAAAATCTCATTAAAAAAATGTCTGTAGAACATTAAACAAATGAATAAATCTGCATATAAACTGGAAATTATTGCAGGAATACCTTACAATTATACAATTAAAGAAGTCTTCTGTTTTTACACAGTATTCTTTGGTAAATTCATAACATTATCAATTACATCCACAAGAACTCCCCGTCAAAGTACAGATTTTTAGATGTAAAACACATACTTTTCACATTAATGTATAGGTTTACTTTGAATAAACTTACTTTTATAGTAATTAAACGCAACTATCCAATATATCTACATACTTTTAATTCAAGGAGTTCACTTTATATAAAGATTGTTTTATAGTAAATAAAAGCAACTATCCAATATATCTACATTACTTTACCATTAATGTATAGGGTTAGGGTTAGGTTAGCACCTCACACCTATCAAATACAGGGTAAATGTAAAACTTCCAAGTCCCCTGCCACCAATGCAGATATTTTTCAGAAGCAAAGATAAACTTTGCTGGCCACATCAGCTTAAGATTCAACAAGTGCAGATACAAGAGTGATAGATAAAAAATATATACATAAAAAAAAAAAAAAAAAAACAGCTATGTAGGCTATACCTTTCATGCAGATATGCTGTAAATAAAAATTGAACATAATAATTACTGTGTGTTATACTACAGAAACAGATCTAAAAATATTGCCTTGAAAGATGGATGAATACAGTATGAGATATTGTTGCACAGTGTAACTAAATATACAGTTATTGTACATGAAATAATTGAGCTTAAGTTTAATATAAAATTAAATCAAGAATAGTCAGTGATTGTTTATGCATCCTATATCCATTGTTTCTACTGTCAGGTACCACTGACTCAGTGTTTACAATTCTGAAGTGTTCTGTAACAATTTCATAAGTGGCAGAGAAAAAATTGAGTGGCAACATTTTCAGACCACACCCCGTGCACTGTAGCTGCTGCTGTCTGGTGCTGCAGCCTCAAGTCTCGGATCATCATGCTTTGGGACAGTTTTTCCGCAAGACAACCACACTGTAAAAACTGGGAATGGCGTCAATTAATATTTAATAATCAAACATTAGTAACATATACATAATAAAAAAGACTATTTGTAGTTTGGAATCACACTGAGCTGACTTCAACAAATTCTAGTTATTTATTAATAACATTTTACTCAGTTTTGTTTGAATAAAATCAGCTGTGAATCGTTAAGTAGAATTTAATTATATTTTATCAGGAAAGTCAACGATGCAGAAAATTGGTAAATGTTACTCATTGGGAGGTCTTTGGATTTAATCACCTCACACTTCCGGTCCAGCTATTTTCAGCCACATGATGGATCGTCAACATTTCAGAGACTGGCTGCCATTTTCCCAAAGGTAAGACTTGTATAAGTTAATAATCATTTTACAAGGAGTTGCTGTAACAGTTAGCAGTTGAACATTGTTTTGCATTGCTGCAAGTTATCCAACATTCCAACTTTATTGGTTGAAAGTAAAAATAAAGATATGTTAACTTAATGTAAAGTAACAGTGATTCTGCCTGCTGTTTCGACTAAAAGCGTGGTAATTAATGACTGAAAAAGTAACCTAGTCGTTTAAATATCACAATTTTTTTTTTCGAAGTATAACGTTATAGATAATGGCCTTTAAGATACCAGCTATGTTAATCTACTTTTGCCAATTTTCCTGGCATCGGCCTGCATCTCCACCCCTCCCCCACCCCAAGCTAGCTAACGTTAGTCTGTTTTGCGCACGCCTGGATGGTGTGCTAATCCCAAATTCACAGAGGCTCCATGTTAAGTAATGTTAGCCACGCAGTTTCAAGTCGCAATTCACGGTAACATACAATGAGGCACAACGGGAGATGGCAAAAAGTTTTTCTCTGTCGGAGTATGCATTAAAGCCGGTTTCAGCACGTGCTGACAGATTACACCGGCGAGCTACGTCTGAGGTCACTAAATTAGAGCATGATGTGGACTTGTGCTGCCAGAGAGAGGCATCGTCCGTCTGTTTGCAACAACAGATTTATCATTTAACACTATTATGTTAGCATTTCATGCTCAGTATATCCTCATTCTGTCATGAACGTGTCTCCACAAAACAGAGTAAATAACTAATTTAGGCGATTGACCTTCTTGTAGAATATAACACCCTTGTAGGTTTAAAAGACAAATTATCACTGTATATTAGGAATTTTCTTTGTCAGGTTCACTCTTTATTCTTATTTGCATATTACATGTTTCAGTGTTCTTAAGCTTTAATAATTACTGTTTGTTTAGTTACTCCTTATGTTTCCTCTTATGTATGTGTAAAATACAATTTCAAATTAAATCTAAGCTCATTTATCATTTCTTTTCAGATGCATGAAGAAACTTTGACTGAAATTTATCAATAGGTATGTTTTTGACTTGTATGAAAAACAAAAAAAAGCTGTGATACCACATTTCACATGTTGATTATTACTATTTCTTGTATCAACATTTCCTGGTTAAAAGCAGATTACCTGCAGGTTTTTTTTTTCAATTATGTCCAAAACCTGTAGTTCCAACTTAAATTTGAAATTTAAACAGCAGAAAAAATAGAAATACTGATAACATGTCTCATAGACATACAATTAAGTTATGATAACACATTGTTTGTACATACTTTTTCACATCCTAGTTACCATTTAAGGGAATTTTATTACGTTGACACTAATTAAGCAAATTTTCTTTAAAATGGTTTATTGCAAAAATTAGATGTCAGACAAAAACTTAATATTTAACATATGTACCTGAAATCAAAGGTGTCCAATCTCTTACATGTCATGATCCATCATTTAATTATTAGACCTATTAGACTCGTTTAGCGCCAGTTATCACTCAGTTCTGTGTACTTACTGCTTAAAGGAATACGTTGAGGAACGGCTAGTCTGGCTCTGTCCAAAAAATTTGCCTACCAGCACATATAAAGCTCACCGATTGACATGTTATGTCTTGTTTGTTTTATCCATACAAAATCCAAGGTGTAAAAATTGTGTGGTTTTATGGGAGTTCATATGCACTGTTAGTTGACAACTAAGACATTTTGTTTAGCAGTAATGTAAGCCACCTATTGTTAAAAGTTGCAGCTTTAAGAATGTTTTATGTCATTAAATGATTTTTAC